CCGGCAGCCCACCTCCGAGCAGTCCATTCCGCTGTACGGTCATCCGTGGTTAGGTTAGCCCACTGATGAAGCCCCTCACCATCATCTCTCAGAGCCCTTCCTGGGATCTAGCAAGCAGGCCTCAGGGCTGAAGACAGTGCTTCCAATCGGGCGTTTCCAACTCCTGGGTTGACGGAAGGCGTTTTGAACTGTCCTACTCTGAGCCTTGAAACATGCAACTGTTTCCTTCCCTCGTGTTACTTTACTGGGTTTTGGAGCCTGCCTCCTGTGCTATCCTGTCCTGGCTCTTCTCTCTTAGAGGGACTCCCGTGCTGGGTCCTAGGGCCCTCAGAGACAAGGCGTCCCCTAGAAGTCAGGGAACTGGAGCAGCTCTGCAGCCAGTGTCAACACTCCAGTCCAGTTACAGATAACTGCTCAGTTTTCCATTGCCCATGCCAGGGGGGTTGTGAAGACTGTGCTCATTTTAATAAGCATTGTGGATTTGTGAGGGTTGAACTCAGGACCTGGGCCCTGCCCCTGAGCTCTTTTGCTCAAGACTAGCATCCTACCTCTTTGAGCCACAGCACCACTTCCGGTTTTTGAGTGGTTCGTTGGACATTAGAGTCTCGAGGGGGGAGGGGAGGACATTAGAGTCTCCGAGGGGGGGGGCACTTTTCTGCCCAGGCTGGCTTTGAACCGCGATCCTCAGATCTCAGCCTCCTGAGTCGCTAGGATGACAGGCGTGAGCCACTGATGCCCAGCGATGAGCATCCTTTTTGTGTTTCAAGTACAAGCTAGCTGAGGTTTGCCGCGGTCACCATGTCACGGGTGTCAGAGGCCCTTCCTCCCTGTGCAGCTGGGTGTACCCAGAGCTGTGGACCCACCTCTGTGGGCCAGTGCTGTTACAAATCCTGCTGTGCACCTGGTGGGGGAAGGGGCGGCAGGCCTCCGCCACCCTGTCACCTGGGGAAGAGGAGGGCAGACCCTCAGAGACGTGACCAGCAGGAGTCGACAGTGCGACGGAGAGGAAACGCACGCTGAGTTCAAGTTGGATGCTAACTTTGAGTAACAACGGGGGAAAAAGATGTTTTCTACCCAAACCACCGAGTCCCTGGCCGGTCACCGGCAGTGCGGCCCGCCCACCCCGTTCCCATGCACCTGCCACACCGCCCAAAGCAGCCCAGGGTCTAGCTTCTAGAACCATGCCTAAGATTCCCCACTACGGTTAGATGCAAAGTATTTTCAGTTCAGTAAATTTCCCATGTGAGTGGGCCTCCAAATGTGAATACGTTAACCAGTTTGAGTAGAGGTTTCCCCGCCTTTGCTCTCTCTGTCTTCTGGGAACGTAGGGAGTCGCTGCCCTGCCCTTCTAAGAGACGGTCCCTGCCCCCCCCCCGCCCCGCCAGCTGGAGCTCTCAAAAGGGCGCCCCGCTTTCAAGTCCAAGCTCCTTCACTTGACTCCACTTGACACACTCAAGTTGTGTCTTGTCGACTTCCCAGCTCGTTTCCTCCCTGCTTCCTGAAGGCGCTGGCCGTGAGCTCCAGCAGATCCGGACTTTTCCTGCACCCTCCCCGGCTCCTTTTCCAGCCATCCTGCTCCTTCCTCCCGTAAATCTCTGCACCCCTGAGAAGGGTGTTCCTGGTCCTCCCCGGACTCTCACCGCGGAAAGACTGCACTGCACGGCAGTCGTGGGTCTGTTCTCTGGAGTCCCTGCTAACAGCAATCCCAGTCACCGTTAGCACGTGCTGAGCACGTACTACAGCCGAGACACTTTTTCTTAAGAAGGATCAGCTCATTTAATCCGTCCGGTACAGGCTCGCACTAGGTGCTGGCGTTTTCTCCATTGTAGAGTGGTGGCGTGGCACCTGCCACAGACCTTGGTAGGATCTGAACTCAGGCACGCTGGCTCCACACCCGTCGCCCGGCACACGGCCTTGTTAATAGTGACTGAATCCCTGGTTTGGCCGGGGTGGGTGTGCTGGGTTTAGGGGAATGAAAGTTGATTCCAGCGATGCACCATGAGCACCGCACCCGACTGGTCCAAGAAGGGCTTTCACAGACTCATGCTTGTTTGATTTATGATTTCTCATTGCAGCTTGGAGCTTTGGTGTAACCTCAGCTAATCTCTCCTTGATCAGTAGGAATGAGCCTTGTTAGCTTGGTCAAACACCAGCTGAATGGCCTGGGGAAGGGGCTCATGCGGGCGTGGAGGGACCCCCAGCGCCCCATAATGGTGCCTCAGTGAACCACAGGGAAGGCTGAGCCTCTGCCCCGCTGTGTCCTTAAACAGAAGCCAGCCCAGAGCTGACTGATCCGCGGGCCTTCAGTGGCTGCCCTGGTGGGGGTTCTGTGACTCCATGAACTTGTGTCTGTCCACTGAAAGTAGCAGTAACTGCCCCCGTGTCTTCTTGGAGGATAATTTCCTGCTGCTGAACTTGAAAACTTCCTTCTTAGAAACGTCTTCACTTATCTTCCGTGCCTTTTGTCATCCCCTTGGGGTGGATCAGAAAGCAGATGCACACATCAACATATCGCGTATGGATAGATTTTAACTCATAAAACTCCCTAAGTGTCAATCCTGGGTTTCAAGAGACACGGTAGCCAAACAGAAAACTCCCCAAAGTAATGGCAAGGTGAAATTATCTTTGCAAAACAACGCGTAAAACAACGTGTAATTGAATCATTATGCATGAGTCAATGTAATCTGCTTTCTGTCATGATGTAAAGAGGGAGAAACAAAGAGCCACCCCCCCCCCCCCCCCCGACGGCCTGGAGGAAGCAGCAAGGCCGACTCAGATCTGTGAACTGCAGCCTGTCCACAGAAGAAGAGCTGCTGGCTTCCCGGGGCTCCTGCCCAGGCCGTGATGGGGTTCAGAGAAAGCAAAGGGGTTCAGAGAAAGGGGTTCAGAAAGCAGAGTGTCGTGAGAGAACTCTGGCAGTCTGGACCAGTTTTCCCAATGACTGATTCTTCTTGCGGACATTGGGAAGCTGTGTATCACTCGGGCCTAGAGGAGGAGACAGAATTTCCCGTTAATTTTCAGTGTCTAGCTGCCTTGAAATACGAATGTGGTGAGCTCAGAAGATCCAAATCCTTCCTGTCCGGATGGTGGGATTAACAGTAGTTTCAAAAGTCATTCGGAACAACATTGGTTAAACTCTGTTCCTTCAAACCTACTTTTTTTTTTTTTTAATGTATTATGAAGGTGACCCAAGTTTCTAGGCCTCACTGAAGGGCCTCACTGAATCCCCGGGTCCTGTCGGCTTGGGGAATGTTTGTGGAAGTCATTTTGCCTTTGACCTGGGGAGGCCCTCCGGTCACTGTGGGGGTTCTGAGAGGGGTGAAGTGCTGCCCACCACCCCCACCCTCCACCCTTAGAGAAGGAGCACGCCAGCTTCTTTTGCTCTTCTGCCCTCCCAGGGCCGTAGCTCTGACTTCCCGCTCCCACCTCCAGCATGGAAGCCAGAATCTCATCTTTAACATTTTCCAGGGTGGTCAGGAAACAGAAAGACACCCAGCAAAACTCGGCTTGGTGGTCAGGACCTCATAGAAAGTCCCCCCCTGCTTTGATCTTTGCTTCTTATTTGCCATGAAATAACCTTTTCCCCCAAAGAATAGTCCTTTCTAGTGACTGTTCAAACCACCCCAAGAGCCGAATGACTGGTATTTGTTTAGTTTGGGAAGTAATTTTTTGAAGGAAACATCTCAACTCTTAAAGAAAGACCTGGGTGTGTGGTACACACCTGAAATCGCAGTATTGGAAGGCTGTGGTCGGAGGATTGTGAGTTTCAAGGCCAGTTTAGATTCCAAAGCAAGATATTACAACCCAAAACAAATACACACACACACAGAGAGAAATGTAAATTCAACAGAAAATGACATACAGAAAAATTACTCTCTAGGACTCACTCTTCCTCATGAAGCCTCTTGAATATCAGTCCTTATCAGCAAAGAAGCGTGAGCCACCATGCCCAGCCCTACCTTTTCAATTCTACGATGCACATCTTTCTTTCTGAAACAATTCTCAGGAGCTTGTTTTAGAATGGTCATGTACAGATTATGCCCTTCCCCCAAACACCTGCTATGAAATTGTTATTCTAATCCGTGGCCATTTTGGAGTCAGGGAAAGTGAGAGTATGCCAGTATGTCAAGACTGATGTGGCGACTTCTCTGATTTGATGGTGGGAGTTTAGTTTTACGAGTTTTCCCATTGAGGTTACCCTCAGAGACGGTGTTGCGGCCACCCCCGCTTTATCAGTAGCTCCGCTTTGCTTTGGAGTCTGCCCTTGTGATTCAGAAGCAGGCTTTGGGGCTGGGGTGTGGCACAGTGTGGGATGAATGCCTAGCAAGCCTGGGTTCGGTCCTCCGTGCTGTTGAAAACAGCCACCACCCACGTTCGTTTGCTGCAGAGCCATTTCAGGGAACGGTCAGGTCAGCCCTGAGCCCTCCCGTCACCGAGGTGCAAGCTCCTCCTGAGGCGTTGCCAGCACCTTGCCCAGATGGCGGTTAGCACTGTTAAGGCTGTTAACTGGCGCCTGAGTCATGTCTCATGCGATGATAGCTTTGGTGCCGGCACGGCACCCTGCTTTCCCTGCTGGCCCCACCGGCTCCCTCTGTGGGTGCCGCCTCCGGGGGGTGGCACGGGCAGCCACGGCCTCCGTCCGCCTTTGCCTTGCTGTCTGATTAGGTCTGACGGTGCTCCTCCCTCGGCTGTGCTTTGGATTTCCTGGCGTTGTGGGTGGGGTGGGGTGGCAGGTTTGACCTCTCTGCCTCTTGGTGCTGTGGACACAGCACGGTTAGGGGTTTCTGGTCCAGTGCCACTCACTGCCCCTCTAGCTCTGTCTTCAGTCACAGGCCTGCCGAAAGGCCACACCTGAGTTTAACCAAGCTCCTGCCAACTGTCCGCACGCCCTGGAGGAGACGGTTATTTGCATTTCTTGCTGCTGCTTCTGAGAAATTCAAAGATCAGACACCTTTTCTGCAGTTTCCTCCTCTGCTGAAACCGCAGCTTCCTTCCTCTGAGCCAAACGCTCTGCGGCCTGTGTTAGCATTCTCCTTTCCCGCCCCGGTGCCCGCCGGCCTCCTCCCAGGCCCCCGATGACAACGACGATGATGATGTGTAGTCAGGAGGGGTTTCCAGGGCGTCCATGCTTCCGAGTGACCGTGTCGGCACTTGTGGGCTTCTGGAGGGATTCTGGTGTTTCCCCTCACTGGCTCTCCGTGTTTTGGATGGATTCTTGAGAATCTGAAGAGAGCTTGAGGGGCTGGCGCTTGGCAGCCAGGGCCGCCATAGCTTGCTCATCACGTTCTCGGAAAGCGATTCCCTCTCAATAACACGGTCGCCTGGTGGTTCCTAGGACCGTAATAACGTGCTAAGAGCAGAGGGAAGAGCGTGGGCACCTGGGCAGGAGCAGGGCACGGCTCTGCCCTGGGAGGCCACAGGAGGGGACGCGGAGCCACCAGAGGGACCTCCAGTCATCTAGCGCCGTGAGGATTCAAAAGCGATAAAAGTGAGATGTGATGCTTAATCCCGACCCGGGGCCACAGTAAGCAGTAAGTGATCAGCATGTTTTCATCTGTATGTAGACCATGTCCTACTTTCAGTATTGGGGGGGAGGGGGGTGTAAAGCTGTTTCCCATGGGAAACAGAGGCTCAGGTTAAGAAGCTTGGTGACTTCCCCCTGGGGACGTGGTGCGTGGCCCATGCGGCGGAGCGGCCCATGTAGCCAGCACGAGGCCCTGCGTCCCTCACCCCACCCCACACCTCCCAAAAGAGAAGATGGCAAGCCCGGGGCAGTGGCCGCCATCAGACCACGCAGCGTCCGGGACAGGCAGCAGATCTTGAGCGGAGAGAGTGAAGTGAGGACGGTCTCTCCTTAGAAAAGGGCCGCGTGTGACAAGCCGGGGCAGACGCTTGTTGGGATTTTGTGCCCTTGGTTTTGGTTTTGGCATTAAGAGGGATTAAATGTGAAGATGGGAGAAATGACATTGAAGAGCAAGAGGAAAACGGGTGCAGTCCTGACCCTGCCTTGGCTGAGCCCCGTCTCTCAGCTGCCGTCTCTCAGGGAAGCGTTGATGGTCACTACGGCTGCCGTGGGCAGGGGGGTCAACACGCAGACTGGGGCTTAGGAGCTGTGTGTCTCATAAGCGTGCAACACGACTTACACGTCACCAGTCATTCTTTCTGGGAGAAGGGTCTCTACTGTGTCTCTGTGTGTCTGCTTTTATTTTCTTAAAGAAAAAGCAATCTGACGGCCGGAGTAGCTGAAGAGGCTGGTCCCAACACCGGAACCGGGCCCAGGGCTGTTGACAATACCCAGGAAGAGGAGGGAACGGCGGTGTGTGTGTGTGTGTGTGTGTGTGTGTGTGTGTGTGTGTGGAGCTGGTCTTGCGGTGGGCAGCTCTTCCTGGGAGGAAGGAGGCTGTGCTATCCGTGCTGGGCAGGTCCCTGGTCCTGCACCTGCTGGAGCCTGGAGGTCCAGAGAGGGCCTTGCGCATCCCAGGAAGTGCCTGGCTCTCCTCCCAGCCCCCAGGCTGGGTATTATTTTTTAGCGAACTTGACATTCCTTAAAACTTGGTTGGTGGCATCCATTGAAGACGGGTCAGCTCCGAAGCTGTCTTCATTGTCATGATAATACTGTTACCCTGTGAGTCTGTTTCAGTTCACTAAACAGCATCAAAGGGATGAACTCAGGGCCTAGTACTTTCTTGGCTTGCCTGCTGGGCTGGTGCTCTACTACTTGAGCAATGCCTCCAGCCCAGCTTTGTTTGGGGGAATGAGTCTCATGGATTTTTCTAATTGGGTTGGATTTGAACCACAGTCTTCTGAATCGCAGGTTCCTCAAGGGCTGACCAGGGCTGATCCACCCTTGTCTAGCTCCAAATACATTTTTACTTATTTGAGAAACGGAGAAAAGACATTTGCAGATCAGAGCTGTAGTTCATAATCTTCTCCATCCCTTCCACCTTTTCCCTTTCCTCTAATCATGTTGCTGCGAATGCCGGGAAGAAGGCCCTGACCTGGGGACGGGACGCACTTGTGTTGTGTCGAGTTGGTTGCGTGCCTCTCTGGGTACACTTGACCACCGGGGTGCCACACTGCACCTCAGAAGTTCTCATTCCTGGCTGCACTTCGGAATCCCTGGCTTTGAAAGATCTAGATCTTAATCAGATGCAGACAACGTCTCTAAAAAGAGGATGGGAACTCCTCAAGTGCCTACACCATGTTTAAAAGCCCAGGCTCTGGAACAGGGCTATCACCCGGGGATGGTTTTGACCAAGGGAACATTTGACAATATCTGAGATTTCTATGGATGTCTGTGTGCCTGCGGTCCCCAGGGAGTGAACGCAGAGACCCGGGTCAGTTCCTGCAGTGCCCAGGACTGCTCCCTGCACAGTTGGTCCCACGTAGCTAAACAGCCCACGGTAGGAAGCAGTGTGGTAGAAGACCGGACTCAGGAAATACCAGAGCAGTGCACACACCTGTCTTAAGAAAAGCACCCTTTGTAGACCCACCCAGTGAGATCACAGGGAGCAAGCGGCCTGGACTTGGTAATGGGGCCCTCTCCCCGGGGCTGGTGTGCCACAGGTCCCTGGTTTCCTGGGAAGGAACTCTTCCTGTGGTTCTCTGAACTTGTTGTTTTTGAATGACTTGGAAGAGGACCAATGTTAAGAAAATTAAACCCATAGAAGTGGGCCAAGATAAATAACTTTAAACTAAGCTTTTGAATTGCTTGACCCAATGCAGAATTTTCTAAAATAAAAAAGTGAACCAGTTGGAAGCGACTATCCATGACCTATAACAAATCTGACTTTATGTGCCATACATAGGTAGAACTCCTTCTCTTTCCGCTTCCTTTGGATTGGGTAAGAGGAGACTGAAAATGCATTTTAAAAAAAATTTCTCGCAATCAGTTTTTCTTTCATTGTGAGACGTTCCAGAATGCTTTCGTGTCAAGTTAACTTCTTTTTGTGGTGCTAGGGATGGAAGCTAAGGTTTTGCACATGCTAGACAAGGCCTACCCTGAGCTACATCCAGTTAATGTCATCCTCTATCTTGTTTTGTCATTCGTGTCTGTTCTACATTGTATGTAAGTGACTTTCTCTCCTCTGAACATGCCCAGTTTTCCTAAGTGTGGCACATGAAAGAGGTATGTCAATAATATCTTTATTTATCATAAGTAAGGTGTTGTGTACGCACGTTGTGAAGTTCAGTCTTTAGCCCAGGTGGTAAATTTAGTTGGGAGAATCCATTAAATAAACTAAAAACTGTTCGATCCCTACCAACAGTACAAGCAAGTAGCTGCAGCTTTTGAAGTTGCTTGGAATTCATGGATCTTCTGCAGAGGGCCAATTCTTGTGTCAACGTCGCTTTAGAAAGAGATTTCAGGCCAGTATTAGTGGCTTACTCCTATAATCTTAGCCACTTGGGATACTGAGACTAGGAAAACCTAAATTTTCATGCCAAGCTCGTAGAACTCCTTAATGAAGAGATGGCCTGGATGTGGAGGTCAGAAAGCCTCACACAGGGGCTGGGAAGGTGGCTCAGTGGTAGAGCGCTTGCCTTGCATGCCTGAGGCCCTGGGTTCGATTCCTCAGCACCACATAAGCAAAAAGAAAAAAGCCAGAAGTGGCGCTGTAGCTCAAGTGGTAGAGTGCTCGCCTTGAGCTGAAGAGCTGAGGGACAGCGCCCAGGCCCAGAGTTCAGACCCCACAACTGACAAAAAAAAAAAAAGCCGCACACACACGCAGCTCTCACCCACACTCTTGGTGTGTGTAGACTTGTGCCTCACCCCCTCGGCTCCCTTCATCTCCCCGGTGTTTTGTTTCCGGTGTTTCTCTGTCACGAGGGCTCTGCCATTGACTTCCACAGTTGCGTCCCCAGCCCAGGCTTGTGAGTATGATGTCCCTACCTGGCTGGATTGTGTAAATCAGTGCTCTACCAGCGACTCAAGCTAAACGCGAATGAGACCGAACCTCCCTTCTGCTTCAGTCTTGGACTCAGAAAAAAAGCCAGGAGGCTACTCAGAACCCTGGGAAGTGTCTTCCTCCCGGGCTTCCCTGTTCTAAACCAGCTGCCAACACTGTCACCTCTCCCACTAAATAGCTCTGGAATCTACACTGCTCGTGACAGCCGGCAGCTGCCCGTGAAGACCTAGGCATGCCTCGTCTCTTCCCAAGTACTACCCGGGCAGTTGCCTGACCCCATCATTGCCCGCCCTCCAACCTGGCTTCCTATGCGGCCATTGGTTGTTATCCACGTCCGTCTGATTGATACTTCATTGGACTTTTAATAAAGTCCTTTTCTTGTTTGTTTGTTTTTTGGTTGGTTGTGGGGTTTGAACTCAGGGCCTGGGCACTGTCCCTGAGCTTTTGCACTCAAGGCTAGCACTGTACTACTTGGAGCCACAGCACCACTTCTGGTTTTTCTGGTGGTCTATTGGAGATAAGAGCCTCACGGACTTTCCTGCCCAGGACTGGCTTTGAACCGCGATCCTCAAGATCTCAGCCACCTGAGTAGCTAGGATGACAGGCGTGAGCCACCAGCACCCAGCAAAGTCCCAATTTTTTAAAAATAGGTTTTTTAAACTTCTTGTTCCCAAACTGGTTCTACTCCTCAGGGTTTCTTAGAGGTATCTGCCTCTCAGTCCCCATACACGCCCCCACCTCCTCTAGCTCCTTGCTCACTAGCTCCGTCTGTCCTGACGCTTAGTACCGTGCACGCCAACACCTTAATAAATAGTTGCTCAGTAGACCTGGGAAGGCGGTGGCCCTGGGTTCTAATCTTCAGGGTCTCCGCATCCTAATGTAGTCTGCCTTAAAAGTGTAAGGACTTCCAGTGCCAACGCTTTGCTTTGTTTCTGGGTCTCTGTAACAGACCCCTGCTCTTCAGTGTCTTGTGTTATGGAACAGAACTAGAAGACGTGCACGGGGTAGGCACATTGCCTTCAGTCTGCTCTTCCAGTGCTGCCAAGCAGAACCATGCCTCCTAGGAACCGACTCCCTCACTGCAGGCTGAGTTGCCTTCCCCGGGAAGCCTTTTCAGCTGGCTTGTGAAGCAGGCCCTGAATTCCTGAGACTTGCCGGGACTTGTCCAGACTGTTTGTCAGACTCCTAGACCTGTTTGGGAAGTGTTTGGGTCCTGTTCTCTGATCTCGTTTCTAAGAAACAGACAAGAACGTCACCAGGGAGACCTTCAGCAGTAAAGGTCAGAGTGGGTCTCAGTTGGCCATGACTCTACAAAAGAAGACCCGCCGTGGAGTTTCGGTCTTCTCAGGCTCTGCTCAGCTCCTGCCTGTCTGTCTGTCTGTCTGCCGCTCCCCTCCGGGTGGAGGGCTGGAGTCAGTGTTGAGTCAGAGGGTCAGCAACGTGATGACATGCTTCCTGCCCCAGTGCCCAGGGTTTATGGCTTGTTTTTCTGTTTGCTTTGAAGATGCTCTGAAAAAATATTAGATTTCCCAGCTGTCTGCTCGGCAGCACCCTGTATATTTATGATATCTTGGGGTAGCTCTCTTGCAACTCACAGGGTTTTTTTTTTAAATCTTGTTTTCCCT